TTGATACATTTGGTTTTCTCGCACCAGAGGCGGTGGAGCTCCTTAACAGAGTTCAACGGGTCATGCATTCTAATGTCATATCTCCTAGATCCACAGATGTTGTTCTCAAAAAAATTAGTTTTTCCATCCAGAAAGGGCTTGCGGCGCAGCTTGTTGCCCATTTGCCTTCCATCGATATGTATTGAAATTTATTAGTAGAATTATTCAAATTTAAGTAATAAAAAAAGACAAAGAAAATTATAGTTTGGCCCTTAGTTGAGAAAAGGTGGTAGTTGAGTATGCAGGGCGTACGCATGTGTACGCTCAGCGTACTCATGTGCGTGATTTGGACGCGAAATCCACCTAGTACGCTGGGTGTACCAGAGGGTAAGCTGGGCGTACTAGGCTCAGAGGGAAAACCCTAATTGTGAGGTGTGTCCCTATTTAAGGAACATGATGGTGTCATTTTTTGCCACCATTTCCAGTACTCAACTCCCCTCAAAACCCTAATTGTCGTTGTCTTAGCTTGAGTGGCCATTTGAAGCTTTTGAGTGTTCTTTGTGGGATTCTTAGACTGAAGAAGGAGCTTTGAAGAGAATAGAGTTGGAGTCCAAGATTTGGATCTGAGTTTTCCTGTAGTTGGTGCATCATTTGGAGGTATCAAGCTCAAAGCTTTCTCATTGTTTTGATTTGTGCATATTGTGGTTCATTTTAGGGTTTATGTCCCAAAGCTTGAAGCTTTATGAGTTTGCTGAACTCCATAGCCTAATACCTGTCCTTTTAAGTGTCTCTAGTGGAGTGGACTCATAAAAATAGGATCTTGGACGTTAAGATCTCTCCATGCATGGTATATGAGAACTTTTGTGAGTAAGGAGTGAGAGTTTATGGGTTTTAGACTTTCTCAGACATGCAAAGGCTTAAAGTCACAAGCTTTATGGAGTATTAGCCTTTAGTGAGTCCAGATCTGAGAGTATAGCTATGGTCTTAACGGATTAAGACCAAGAGAGTGGGAAAAGTGAGTTTGGGACGTACGCTGAGCGTACTCCCAGATACGTGCAGCGTAGCGTTGAAGTTTCCCGATGCATACATGGTGAAGTAGTACACCCGGCGTAAAGGGCTGTACGCCCAGCGTATGCGCTTGCTGTTGACTTTTGTTGACTTTTAGGGTTTGGTTAAACTGTGGACTTTAGAGGCCATGGAAGGGTAAAATGGTCTTTTATCCTTCTGAGAATTAGTAGTGGGTTTAGCCAAACATCTTGAGGGTCGTTTATTAATTAGATTCATTTACGATATATGTTAGGCGGAGGCTAGACCGGTGGTTCGAGTACGAGACATACTTGCTTTACTTACGAGGTGAGTCTTCTCACTATACTTACCTGAGTGGTAATACTAAGTGACCAGAGGGTCTTATTGAGTCATCGACCGGAGGGTCCTTTGTGCTTATACTGAGTTATGTGATATTATGCATTTTGTGTTTGTGATATATGTTATATTATTCTGTGCTTTACTCAGTTAGGACCGAAGGGTCCAAACCGAGTTGTGAGACCGGAGGTTCTTCACTGAGATACAAGACTGGAGGGTCCAACCCGAGCTGTGAGACCGGAGGGTCTTCACTGAGACACATGACCAGAGGGTCCACATCGAACTATGAGACCGGAGGGTCCTCACTAAGACGCATGGCCGGAGGTCCATGCCGAGTTATATCCATGAGAGGCTTATTATTTGTGTATGTGGTATTTTGGGGAACTCACTAAGCTTCGTGCTTACCGTGTTGTGTGATATGTGTTTCAGGTACTTCTCGGGATCGCGGGAAGGCGCCGGCTTGATTGTACACACTTGTTCGAGATTATGTTTGAGGATTATGGGATATTATCAGTTGTTTTGTTGATTTGTGTTTTTGACAATTGATACATTGTGGTTTTTGAGAAAATGTGATATTGAGTTTTTATGTGATTTAAAAATGAAAATTTTGTTTGAAAATTTACAGCGTTACATCCTCCTATCCATGGTATCGGGACTTTCTCATTCTACTCGTCGAGTCATCCTTGAACTCGTCGAGTTTTCCTTTTACAGAATCGGGACATTTCAACCCAACTCGTCGAGTTCCTCTATGGACTCGACGAGTTCTTCAGTCTGTTGAGCCATCTTAATAGATTAAGCTCCTATCCTTCAGATCTGGACTCCACACTTCTTCTATACATTGAAAATTTCCTTTTAAGGGTAAAGTTTCCAACTTTACCCGTTAATAGCTTCATTTAATGGGTTTAGCTCAAACCCTAACTCTTCAAGATCTAGATCTTGATCCAAAAGCCATATATACTTCGAACTAAGGCATACAAACTGAGATCTAGACCCTAGACATCATTTGAACCCGTAAAGTTTCTGCCTTTAACTCCATGCATGGCCTTTTGAGGCTTAAAAGGCCAAAATGACATCTTAGAGCTTGCATGGGGCTCCAATGGCCATAAAGTTTGCACCTTTATGCCATAACAGCCCTTCAAGGTCCTAGATCTGGGAGAATACCCACTTGGGTCGTCCATTTCCCAAAAGCTAACATTCTTGGACCAAAAATCCCATAAAAGTGAAATGAAGAGATCTAAGAGATCATTAAGCAAGTTTGATACTTGCTTACCCGAAAATGTTGCAAATGGAGTGAAGTTTCTGGATCTACTCTCTTCTTCTTGAGTCCTCTAGCTTTCTCTTCTTCCGCAAGCTTCAAAAGCACAAGTTTTCTCTCAAAAAGGTCTCACGAGCTCACACAAAGCTCTAGGGTTTCATGGCTAGGGTTTTGAGACTTGGAGGATGTAAATGAGGCCATCCTTTAGGGATTAATGTGTTTAAATAGGGTGCAAAACCCTGAAATTAGGGTTTCACTCTAGCAGTCCTACTCGTCGAGTTGGGGCTTCCAACTCGTCGAGTAGACTTCAAAACCCGCGTCCAAATCCATTTCCTACTCGACGAGTTTGGGGCCTCCAACTCATCGAGTTCCTGCCTAAAAATGAATAAAATTATAATTTAAAAACATACCAGGAACCCGGTGTTACATGATCTCTACATGCTCACGTCGTGAGCCTTAAATGAGCATGGTCAACAAGTCAACGATCACTCACCCGAACCACTCCAACTTCAAACGGCCATAACTTCTTCGTTTCAACTCCGATTTCGACGTTCTTTATATCCACGGAAAGGTCTCTAAGAGCTCTACCTTTCTATCAACTCCCCCTTGCCATAAAACTTTCCGAACAAAAATCTATTTCCATAAAAGGCTCAAACTGTCACTTTACCGATATACCCTTAGTCTCCAAAAACACAAACCGAACTCTCAGATCATCTAAGCTACATTACCCACACTCAAATGGGTCTAAACCTTTCTTCCCCAATATCTGAAGCCTCCTGGTAACATATATTCGGGTCACAGTCCCGATAATGAATCGGATTAAAACAGGATGTTACACCCTGCGTACCGAAGTACGCCCAGCATAACCGAGGACTAGGGCCTATAAAAGGGATGCGAGGGCTGCCACTTTTCTTCACACCATAACCCTTCTCTCTCTCTCTCTAAACCTCCCCAACCTCTAGTACTTCCTGAGTGCTAAAAGGCGAGTCCTGGAGCGCCAGAAGACTCCGAAAAGAAGAGCTTTTCGGCTTGGAAGTTCTGCCCCCGCAGAGCCTGGTTCCTAGCCAAACCTCCCGGTAAGTGAGTTATGCTTGCCCTACTTTAAGTATAGCTTATGTTTAAGTTCAATATCGTTATTATGAACTTATAAACAATAAATATATTATAAAATATAATATACAAAGTGTTATTATAATATCTTTTAACTACGCGCAGTACGGGGAATATGGTTTGAAGGGTGGCATAGGGTTGTTGGATTTCAGAAGTGCTATAATGCCAAAATGGTCCTGCCCTCCGGTGTTTCATGTCTGACCCCTATCTGTACATATTGGTTGAAAAGTATTGTTTAACACTTATAAAACAATATCGCTCGTAAATAGTCGCGATAAATATTAGACTAAAACCTAGCGGTAATGATACTAGGTTTCGTCGAAGGAAAATAGAATTATTAGAAGCGGACTGATGCCCGAGTTTGGAATCATCACTTTAACAAGTGAGTGCATAGTTACTTTCATCTTACACATAGATATGAAGTATTTAATATAAATTACGTGCTATGTGTGCATATTATTTGTGTTCCTGATATCTATGTTGGATGAACGATTTATGCATGTTTTAAATGATTCAAACTATATATGTATTTTATATCTACGAATATGTTGGGTAGAACATGGGTAGATGAAAAGGTTGATGTTTGATGAAATAAAATGATGAGAGGCCTCGATTTTTATGATGATCCAGTCATCTAGCAGAGTATAGCTGACGACTACAGACTATTCTAGACAGTCTAGTGGAACGCTAGCAGGCTCGCAACATGTATGTGTTTGTGAACGATGTGTTCACGGTGTACTCTATCTCCCTCATGGTTTCCTTACGGACATATATCGCTGAGGAACCCCCTTAGCAGTAGTGTCAATCCCGATGAAAATCCTTAGGTTAGGTCCCTTGAATTAGATGCTTTAGGGACAGAAAGTAAGGATAATGGGAATGGGTAATCAGGTTGATTGATGTGATGAAATTAATAAACTTAATTATTGTGGGTTGAAAACCATATGTGCTTACCAGGCTCCCAAGCCTGACCCACTCAGTTTCTTGTATTCCAGGTAGTGGCACAAGAGCATAGATGTGATGATCGGATGAGAGTTTATGGATTATAGGCTAGTAGATATAAATAAATGTTGTAAGGCCTATGTTGTTTTGGTTTATGCTTTTGATATGTATTGACAATGACATCCCAAGGTTTTAATATAATGAAATACATTTCTTCGGAAATGCTTTGATAAAATCTTTATCATATTTTTTGGAACAAATTCCGCAACACTTTCTTTAAAAAGTTACTCTGATTTTTATATAAAGCATAAAAAATCGCTATTTTCTGGCCGTAAAAATGGGGATGTCACAACTTTCATTCATCATTACATGTCCTATTCATAGTAACTATTTCCTCATTAAAATCCACTGTCACATCCTTAAGGGTACCTATGTCATCATCCCCACCACTAATGCAAGAGTCATGGTCATCATCTCCTCCTTCTGACTCAAATATATCATCTATTCCATCACCAATATGATCAACATAAAGGGATATTTGACCATCAGTTCCATATGCATCAAAGTTGAAACCTGCATATTTCATTTCATTCGAGATATGTATAAGGTCACTCAAAAGGGGAGCACCTGGATCACAGTAGTATAGCTTCTTACAATCTAGTTGCATGAAACGTTCGAGAAAAGTAATACATTCTAAGTGTGTCATACCAGAAAAATCATGATCTGTGAAGTTGAAATTCATATCGTTAGTGTAAGATAAAGGACATCGAATAAACACCCCCTTAAAGTTCAGTTCCACTATCGGAAATATCGCATTGGGGTTCGAGGTTGACATAACTTCTTCTTCCTCCTACTTCACTTCGATATGTGGAGGACTTGTAAACCCTAGCTCTGGTTGAAGGTTTTTGAGTATTGCTAATGAAAATGACGATTAAAAGTTGAACTTAAGTCTCTCTCAATTACACTCGACTCATCTCATTTAAGTTGATAAATACGTGGAACTGTCATCGTGGCCTGCAATTTTCTTTTTATTCGTTTTTCTAATTAACACGTAAGCAACGTAACTGGTTCATCCAATTTCCTTGCTCAAAATGGCATAATTGACAGGTAATTTGAAAGTTGAGGGATTAATTGCACAAGAATAAAAAATTGTGTGACCAATCCGGGACAAAGCCAAAACTTCGTTGTGTTACAGTGTCAATTTCCCTTTGCGAAAATTGTGGCTAAACTGGTATTTTCTTTTTAATTTTTTTGGTTGTTTTGTGATAAAATAAAAATAAAAATAGCTATTATAGACATTTTATCTATTTTTTTCTATAATTTTGCCTTTTTTTAAAAAAATAAATAAATAACTTAAAAAAAATATAGTTATTTTGTTTTTTGTCTATTTTATTTACAATGTTATTTGTTACGGAAATGTATTATAAAAATAATCACATTCGTACAAAGAAAATACAGACAGAACTGACAACACCCTGTCCCACGCTTTTAACATCCATTATTGGTCCATCCCTCACGTCGCATTTTTCCTTCAAACATCACTTCTTCTGGTCGCTTTTACAGTTGAATTCTCGTACAATTTGGGTTTTTTTCTTCTTCCGTCGTTTCTGTGCAAGTTAATGGTTGCCGAGCTTTGATTTTGGTCATCGGAGATTGCAGCGATCAAGTGCTTTAGCTCAATCTTTAGTCAAAGGCTAAACCCCGTCTACTTAATTTCTACTAGCAACAAATCATCGGAATAGTTTCTCCTATCTTTCGAATTATTTTGTGTTTTGTTTTAGACTACATTAGAATTCATAGTCTTTGAAGTTATTTTGGCCATGGAACCTGCCGTACCTTCGCAACTTGTTGGTTCAGAGATTCATGGCTTCAAAACCATGCAAGGTGCGTTTGAATTTGTGTATGTATTGCATATATTTATGTATGAACAAGAACAATTCATAGTCATCATACTTACTTTTTACTGGAACTGAGAGTGAGTATGTATTGTAGTTTATTCTCTGAAAATGTTGTTCATGCTCATATTATTTCGAGCAAAATTGCAATAGAGCAACATATTTTACATCATAACTAATCCAGTTCAAATAATATGGCAAAACGATGGGCGTAGGTATCTAAGAAGTTAGAACAAACTATTTCTGATAGATGGAGTTATCCTAACACTAACTGATTTTTCAAAATTAATTATTTTGGGAAATTTTGACCAAAGAACCTGAATTGAATGCTTTTTACAACGATTTTAGAAAGTTGGATGGTTTTAATAATGATTTTTGATAGTCTAGTAACCAATAAAGATGTAGAGGATCTCTGTTGCTATATGTAGCAATTTGCCCTATTTTTTTTGCTGGAATTGGAGTGTCTATTGTTGGTTATTATTGAGCTACATATGAAGTATGTATGTACTTCTATTAATAGATAATGATCTACTTTTATTTGTTTATGTTTTTTTTTTTTTAAAAACTAGAGCTTGTAGTACTAGGTATACTGTTTTAGATATACCCACCATGTAACATGTTTTTTTTCTTCCATGAACAGATTTAGATGTACCCACCATGTTTGAAGAAGCTAAAACAAGATGGCTTAGGCCAAATGAGATCCATGCAATGCTTTGTAACCACAAGCATTTCAACATTCATGTGAAGCCAGTGAATTTGCCAAAAAGTAAACTTTTATCTCATCTTTTCGTTTTTTGATTTTTTGAGATTATGTTTCTCGTTTAAGATGGGGTCAAACGTCAAATAGGTGGCACTATTGTCTTATTTGATCGTAAGATGCTAAGAAATTTCCGGAGGGATGGGCATAATTGGAAAAAGAAAAAAGATGGAAAAACTGTCAAAGAAGCTCATGAACACTTGAAAGTGAGTTCTTTTTGCTGCTTTGCACATTTTCACATGCAAAAAGCTATTCATGTTTGCACCTTTTTAAACCCTTTTTTGGGATTCCATTGTTGAAAAACACATAAAAGATGGAACTTTTAAGAATATTAGAAAATGACAAGAAAATATGATAAGGGTTTCTGCTACCTAAAAATTATTAAAAGAACTAGTTTGAGGAATAGAAATATGGCATAGCTTACGTAATTATGTTAATTCATTTAAAACATCATCTATGATCTATGTATAAAAAAATTATAATGGGTTAGTTAAGTCAAAAAACATTGCTTGATGTTTAAGGTCACCAACCCTTTACCTATTTGCCCTTCTTCTTTTACCCTCCCAACTTCTCTCGCATTAGAATTGATGAATATTGTGAAATTTGTTATTTGGAATGTAAGGGTAAAATGGTCATTTAGACTCTTTCGGACCTTATGTATACAACCATTTATCCGGATACCCATCATTACCCATTCAACCACTCTATCCATACAAAACTTAATGAGGAAAAAAAGGAATCAGGCTCAAGTTCATTTTATGGTTGTTACTTCAATTTTATTTTTATTCAGGAGGCTTGTTTTTAATTTACTTTTACACGAAAATATTAGTTAATTCTGTTATAATATGATTGATGAGTCAACCTTATTTATATAGGTTGGTAGTGATGAAAGGATTCATGTGTATTATGCACATGGTGAAGATCAATCAACCTTTGTTCGCAGATGTTACTGGCTTCTTGATAAGTACGAAGAAATTGGAGATTACATGGGTTATGAATATAAACCCTTCTTTTTCTTTTTCTTTTTTTGCATTAATAATATTTACCATATAAAATACGTTCCATTTTCTTTGCTTATGTTGCAGGAAATTGGAACATATTGTTCTTGTTCATTATCGTGACACCCAGGAGGTTTGTCCCCATCAAAAGAGCTCTTAATCCTATATGCTGAGTATTAAGAAATAGGATTAAATACAAAAAATAGCAATGTACTTTGAATAAAAAATTTAGATTTTTTAAAGTATATAATTTTCTTGATATTTATAAACTCATTATGCAGTTACAAAGTTCCCCAACTATTGAATCAAATTCCAGTTCAGATCCACCCGCTTCATGGACTCTCTCAGAAGAACATGATGGGGTTGATCAGGTTTATAATATTGGTAAGTTAGTTTTTTAAGTAATTTACTAACAACTTGTTATAATATATTTTTTTTTTTTAAATTACTATTTTACCCTTTTATGTGAGTCTGCAGATCCTAATGAGACTATAATAAATCATAAAATGACACTTCATGAACTTAACACGCTTGAATGGGATGATCTTGTGGTCCCAAATGACTCCAACAAGTTAATCACACCCGAAGGAGGTATTTACTTTATTTATCTGTAAAACTTAATCCTTTAAATAATTGATTTTGATTAAAATTTATAGATCGTTATGTGAATTTTTTTTTTTTTTCTTTGTAGGAAACATACCATATTTTGATCAAGATGACCAATATGGACTAAATGGAATTGTAAATACTGTAAGTAGGCTATCCAATGAAAATATGTTGCTAGTTCTTGCATTTGACCCTAAAGAGTAATTAAGTGTATAATGTTTCTCATTAAAATTTGTAACATTTTTTTATTTACAGATGGACCCTGGATTTATAAATTCTAGCAATGACATTTTAGACACCATGGGAAAGGATGGATTGAAAAATCAAGATAGTTTTGGAAGATGGATGAATTACAACATGACTGACACTGACTCCCCTCTTGTGATTGATGATCCAATTGGTCAAGAAACAGTTAGGAATCCAAGTAGCCAATCACAATCCTTGGAGCAAATATTCAATATAACTGAAGTCTCCCCTTCATGGGCTTCATCTAAAGAAGAAACAAAGGTTCTATTTATAATTTTATATAACAATTTTTAACATTCACTACAAAATAATACTTGTAGTTTACAATATTCTAGATTCAATTAATTAATTAATTATTTTTCTAATCCTAATCTCTTTCCTGTAGGTTTTAGTGGTTGGAGTTTTCCACGAAGAACATATCCACTTATCAAACTCAAATCTGTTTTGCGTATGTGGAGACATATGTGTCCCAATCGAAACAGTCCAGCCTGGCGTATTCCGGTGCTTCATGCCACCTCACACCCCAGGAATAGTCAACCTTTTCATCACTCCCGATGGTCAAACCCCCATCAGTCAACTTATCCCATTCGAATACCGGGCCCCACCTACACAACAAAACTTCACAATCTCTTCACAAGAAAAAACCGAATGGGAAGATTTCCAAGTCAAAATGCGATTAGCTCATTTGCTATTTTCAACATCAAGAAGCCTCAATATCCTATCGAGTCACGTACCTCCAAAGATCATAAAAGAGGCCAAAATCTTTGCTCATAAAACGCGATCGATTGTCAAGAATTGGGATGTTTTGGTGGATTCGATTATGGGGAAAAAGATACCGTTTGCGCGAGCGAAAAATGGTTTATTTGAGCTTATTTTACAAAATAGGTTACTTGAATGGCTTTTGGAAAGACTATTAGAGGGGAGTAAGATTCCGGAACGTGATGATGAAGGTCAAGGGGTGATTCATTTGTGTGCTGTGTTGGATTACACTTGGGCTATTTTTCCGTATTCGTGGTCCGGTTTATCGATTGATTTTCGTGATAAACGTGGATGGACTGCTCTTCATTGGGCTGCTCATTATGGGAAGTAAGATTCTATTGCCATTTTTCTTCATCGTTTAGGGTTAAATGCAAGCAATGTATTTCTAGTATGTTGTTTATTATAGCTACTTGTATCTATGATGCACTTTTCAACTGATTAAACCTTTAAATTTGTTTTCCAGGCAAAGAACTGTGGCATCTCTTCTATCAGCAGGGGCGAATCCGAATTTAGTAACCGACCCGACTTCAAAAAACCCGGGCGGATGCACTCCCGCGGATCTTGCATCCAAAAA